CACTAGACTGTGTCACCAAGAAAATGGATGATGTTTGAGAATGTAGGAGAACAGTTCAAAGCAATATTGTGCTTCTAGTGCAGAGGTTAATTTCTGTACTCTAAAAATGCTGGCACCATGATGTGGTTGGTGTTATGCTCCTCTGTTTTTTCTCCTTCCTTATATGGGCTAATTTCTTCCTGTGAACATGGCCATCTTGTTAACTTCTGCAGCACTTGTGGTTTTTTTTTTTTCAGTCATGTGTGTTCTCACTGTTAGAACTTCATTGCCTGTCTTATGTTGTATAAGAGGTTGTTCGCTGAGTTTTGCAATGTGTCTCTTGTACGATAATCAAGCAAATGTGCAAGACCCCATATAGACTCAAAAAAAGGAGACTCAAAAAAACCAATATTTGTGGAAAAAATACCTCTTTGTGGAACTTTGGCCTGGTTTAGTGACCTTTGTTCTTCCTCACGTGCTTTCAGCTTTGTTTACAATTTGCCTTCATTCCTTTGTATCTGGGAAAAAAAAAAAAAGAAAAAACCCAACATCTTGTAACTAGCAAATGGCAGCCAATGTTCTTATGTCTCACCAAGTTTTCATGTTGCATGACAAAACACCTGCATAAATTCCCTTCCTGATCACAGTGAGATGTTAAAACTGAAGCCTCAGTGTGAGTTTTCAAAACCCAGTTATCAACTCTTTGCTGCTCAGCATTTTAACCACTGTGTCCAGCTACTGGGCCTGTTCTGCATCCTATCCTGCCTGATGTTATTTCTGACTTGCCAAAAATATCAGCTTAGTTGCAAATGTCTCCCTTGACATTTTTGCCTTGTGCTGACAATATACACACAAAAGAAAACAAACAAAATTAATTTTGTTAACTAATCTATAGACTATTTCAAGTATGTATGAAATTAATTGTTTACACATTAATTTATCAGTCTTTTTACATATGAGTCTAGTGCAGAGAATGAATGCACTTTATTAAAATGAGAATGAGGGCCTTCTTCCTCAACAGCAGCTGTCAGGCAAGTGTATTGTTGCAGTAAGTTCATTGTTTGTCCTTTCCTTGTAGTGTCCAGGTAGTAGTAGGTGGAAAATCCCAGCTGTTCCAAAGTTGTACTAATTACTACTTCAGAAGCTGTAACTTCAGTCTTGCTTTACCTTTTAAAGGTAACAAGGAAATGCTGAATGAGTCTATCAAGATGACTTGCACTCAGATAGTAATAGCTTCTGTATTGTTAAACCATCAAAATCAGTTGAGGGAATTGGAGAATCAAAAAAATACCTGTTGAAGTATTTATATGTGAAATGGCCTGTGCAAACTGGTAACTGTTGAGATTGTGATAAAGGTAATGAAATCTGATGTTTCTGAGTATAAATTAATTAGAGGAACACAAATTTCTTTTTTGTGGCTATTGCTAGTTCTGTTAATTGATTCTTCAGAAAAGCTTGCCGAGTAAGAACTTACATGAATGATTGTCTCCTTTCCTAGTCTTCTAGTCTGGTAACCTTTAAAAGTGGTCTCTGTCTTTGGGTGCATACCTCTAGGTGCTTTGTTTGCCAAAGATCATAGTGTAATACAGAGGACTTCTGTAACTTTTATTCTCTGTTGCTTATGCATTCTGGGTATAAGAGATAGCTTTGGAGTTGTAATGAATTACTCCTGTTGGTACAGATTAAGAAATAAGCATTTCATACAACCTGTTTCATATGCTTAGGGCATGTTATCTAGCCATTTCTTTCTCCTTCTGAAATGGGGAACAAAAGGAAAAGACTCTAGGAGCCTTCTGGAAGTTCTGACTGAAGATTGAGCTCTGTGGAAGCATGCCTGTAATTTGTTTTGCGGTTGTTGCTGGCTGTTCTCTCAACTTTCCTCCCTAGACCTTACATGAAGTCTTTGTGTAATGATACAGTTTATCATCTGTGCATTTGTACGTACTTCAAGTTGTAAGAATGAGATGATGAGCTTTTACCTGAAGGTTTTTTATTGATGGTCAGTAAGACAAGTGAGCTGGAGGACAGTTTATTTTGTAAGTTTTGTTGATGGAAGAATTCGTGTGAAGTTTGAGTATTGGTCAATGTGATTGAATTGCTCTGACAGTTGAAGGTCTCCACATGTAAGTCACCACAGGTCCTGTGTCACAAAGGTGAAGATGTGATTTTTTTTGTCCTGGTAGGACAGTGAGTTGTGGGAAGTAAAGAAAATGAGCAGGCTGGCTAATGATACAAACAAACAGGAGGTTAGTTTGGCTCTGGAGGGAATAGTGCTGTTATTGGCCTAGTGCTAGTGTATCTTTCTCTGCGGTTAACTGATGTGTGGAGCTAAGTAAACAAAAACTCTTCACTTTATTATGGTCAGTTTTGTGTTGGTTTAACTGCCTGCTGAGACAGCCCTAGTGGAGGAAAATGTGGGGAGACAGGTGGGAAAGTGGCATCACCTCCTGTATCCCGAATTCTTGCTTGTTATTATGGAGAAGTAGAAAACAGAGCAATCAAAGAACAGAGAAAGCAGAGTTTAAGAAAAAAATTACGAGATCGTTGCCTGAATGTTTGCATGTAGTTGCTTATAGGAAAGTCAAAGCTTGGGAACTGGTACAATTCTATAACTGTGAGGGACTTGACTTGCTGTGAGAATCAGAGACGATGGGGCATGAGGCCCGGAAACACCACAGCAGCTGGGTAAGTGTCCAGCTGTGGGTGTGCTGGAGATTAGTGGCTACACCAAGGAGCTAAATTAAACACTTTCCTACCAAGGATAAAAGTGATCCAATTCCGGTGATCCCAGTATATATTTTATATTGGCAGCTTCTTATTGCTTCATTTCCTGGGGATCCTACAGGATCCTCCATTAGACAGGCATTTCCAGCTTAGTCCATTTTTAATTAATAGATCACTGTTTATCTGAAGTATTGGTCTAGAAGTGACTCAAAACTGCATGGAACAGGTTTTCTTACACTGTTTTTTTTACTCTACTTGCTTCTAGGGAACTTGGGTGCATCCTTAATTTTGACTTTTCTTCCTCAAATGTGTTTGTGCTTTTAGACTGCAAGTTGTATAAGCAAAGATTAAATGTTTACCTTTTTAGTAGCTGAAAATTTAAACAGTTTTGAGTTCCAGTGGCTTTAGTTCCATTGTGAGGGGTTGGAAGTAAATCTTTAAAGTCCCTTCCAACACAAACCATTCTATGATTCTATAAATATATACTTGCCTATGGTGTTACATAGTGTCTGTAGAACTATCCTTACCAGACTTCCTTTCTAAATTTCGTAGAACATAAGGTGGCAAAAGAATGAGTAAATTACTCCACTCATTCTTTATTCATTGACCAGATTCAAAGCTAAGAGCAAAACTCTGACCAAAATTTTAACTGCAAGTATCAATCACTTATATTTGGCCTATGGAATGTAACTGAATTCTCTTATAATCATGTTATTTCTTGTTATAAGTGGAGATTTTATTCAATTTTATTCTTTACTAAAGTCATAATGTAATTATTACAGTCCAATTTTACTGTTAACATCTTTGCTAAGAATTCTGTTGGGGCAGCTCTGGAATACCTGGAAGAAAACAGGATGAAAGGAAGGTCTTCTGGCTCTGCCTTTTTTTGGTGTCTGAGTCTCTTGAGTAGCAGCAGATTAAGGCAGGCCTAAGTCTATCAACACTGTTTCCTGCTGTGTGTGAAATCTTGAGCATCTGGAAGGAAGCAGAGGTGCTTTATCTGTATGCTCAGGGAGATTATTTGGTCTGGATTTACTATTGCAGAGTTATGTTTGCCTAAGAACAGCAAGGTTTTTTTTAGTGATTTACGTCTTGAAAAAAGGCAATATGACAGTATCTTCAGAAAAAATATCTGGTTTTTGAGAGGTTGATTTAGTCTCTGGTGAAGGAAATGATTGAGGAATTTCAATGAGCTGCACATCTGCCACTGTTAAAGACTATCAGGTGTTCATCTAATAGACCACTTCCATTATATCCAGTTAACATCCCATACCTTCTTTCCTGTTGTTCATTGGACAGGCTTGTTAACAGTTAACCTTTATTTAGTTATCAACTTCTGATTAATTTTTTTTTTTTAACCAACTACTACTGTTGAGAATTGCTTAAAAAATACTTAATCTTAGCTTGGATTTGAAAAAGAAGCAAGATAGCAGTGGGGAACAAACCCCTCAGAATATTTTCTCCTAAGACTACTGTAATACCTCACATTAAGCCTAAGGTATGTTCTTGAGGTTTTAATTGTCACATAAAATAGAAAGTGGCATTGGTCATAGTGTTGCTGACTGGTGTGTTTTTGTGTTTGTTTGTTTTTTTTTCTCTAAGTATCTTCCATGTTGATTTGGTTGCAGCTGTCTTTTGGCCACTGGCAGTGTCTCCATTGCACTGCCCTCCTTCCCCTTTTGTGAGTTTCATTAAACAACTGGACCAAGCAAGCTTGTTTAGAGGGGTTTGTAATCAGAATGTTTGGAGACAAGCTTAAAACCAGTTAATCAAAATAGTATTTCTTTTCTGCTGCTCTCTTTGTCCTTTATATGTTTTTCTTCTTTAGCTGCTCAGTGGCAAAAGAAATTTCTGTGGCCTGTCCCAGTGAAAACAGAAATCTAACTAGCCATTAATCTCGTCAGAAGATAATTATTTAAATTCTTATTATGTCACCTTTTCAGAAGGTAGTGTGAAGATGGACAACAGGATTCATCTCTCCCTTGTGTCTGTCTTTGCTAGCAGAAGTGTTAGTAATGGCATAAAAATAGAGGTTAACATTTAATGAAAAATGTTCTCTTCTTTTCCATAGTCCTTCTGTGTTGTATTTTCTTGCCAATCTCACAGTTACTTTGTTTGGTTAACAAAAACAATAGTTGGCTTATTAAATGTCTATGCATTAATGCATTTCCCGATTAGACAGGATTAGTATTCCTTCTGAACTAAATTGTTTCTTTCTTCTCTGTTCCCACTTTTCCAATCTTTCTTCCACTTCCATCTTTCCCCTTCCCCCCTTTTCACTCTAAAAATATCCTTAGGAATGACTTGCTGATTGTATGCTGCCAGCTGAATATGGAGGAGTCTGTCACAGAGATCATGCACCAGCTGGGAGCAGATGAAAATGGGAAAATTTCCTTCCAGGCTTTTAGCCAATGCCGCATGGAACTGGTACGAGAAATCAGGAAGGAGGAAGTGGACCTCTCTGTGAAGTCGGATGACCCTTGCATAAAGAAAAAGTTAAGGGATGAGATAGCTTCCTGGCCAACTAGCAGTAATAACAGTTTAGGTAGGTATGACTTTTAAATGTCCTGTTGGTGTAATTTAAGGAAAGATAAACTCGGGGGGGGGGGGGGGGGTGTTACCAATTTTACTGGCATTAGGATTTGTCCTGAAGGGCATTATGAATATGCCTTGGCATAATTTTGTCATATATTAGAGTGCTGTTATAACTGGTGCAGTCTGGTCATCAATATGCAGACTTGACTGTGCAGAACATCCTTTTCTAAAAAACCCTAGTTGCACAAGGCATCAATCTTTCTTGAAAGGACAAGAGCCGCAGAGCTCAGCCCATAGCTTAAGATCCAGTCTTCTCTGTAAAGCTCAGAGAGGTAGGTAGCTAGAAATATTAAAAATGAGGAAAGGAATAATCTTAGTCTTTTCTCTTTCAGATCTAGTATACTGTAGGAATGTGGATGTTTCTTGGGTGCTTTAAAAATCATTCCAGTTGGAGATCTGAGTGGTGGAAATGCCTTCTGATTTAAAGAATACAAAAATTCTCATTTTCTTTTTCCCTCCTTTCACCTGGGGTGGGGAAGTGAGGAGATGGAGGAGAAAAATCCCTTGTTCTGCCATCTGCAGGAATATGGGATGTTTATCCTTCTTCTATGTATGTTCTTGAATTGTGGGATGATTGACTCTGTAGTTTCTATGCCCATTTCACCATCTCTGTCTGTACTGAATCTTGGTAATCCTGGCTTAGTTGCATTTTCAGCCCATGAATCTCTTTGAAGAGCTGTATTAAATAGCAGTTCAAGAGCAAGATCATGCCTAGTATCTTTTTATTTTTTAATTGGATTAAAGATGGTGTGTGTTCCCTAGTTCTGCCTGTGTTGACTGTTTTGTCAGTGCTGCCACTTCTGTATTTCACTGCAAACCAGAAAACTACTTCTGCCTCAGACAGCTGTATGGCAGCTATACAAAGTTTCTCTGTTTGCTGGCCAGATTTCTGTCAAGTTGAGTTTTAAAATCGTTTTTCTTAGACAGACCAGCCTAATAATTATGGTTTGTAATAACCAAAAGTAAACGACAGGTCCCAAGCTTTACTGGAGAAGGGTCTGTATTACAGTCTCAAAATGTATTTCACAAGGAAATCTCACTAATTTCTACCAAAAATAGTCATATATGAAAATTCAGATTTGTTAACATATGCAAGTCAATCCCTACTCTTTTTCCTGTTAATTTAATGTGTTTTTAAAGAGTTGGTGAGTGCATTAATTTTTTTTTTTTTTTTAATATTCATCCAGTTAAGTCCAGAACACCTTTGAATTTTCTGCCTTGGTATATTTCACTCTGTGCTGATGAAGCCTGACTATTTTACTCTAGTGTGTTTTTGAAATTTATGGAAGTCATGGTTTCTGTACTTGTCCTGCCTTGACTCTTGCAGATTCTGTAAGACTTTTTAATAATTAGAGAACATATGGAGATGCTCCCCCATTTAAACAAAAAACAGAATGGGAGAAAGTAATAATGGACATTTAGAATGCAAATGATTTTTATTTGGTTGTAAAAGAAAACCATTGTGGCAGCACTGTTCAAGATGCTTTACAGATCTTTTTTTAAAGAGGCAAGAAAACACCACTATAATGTATTTTTGTGCTATAAACATTGCACAGAGTATGAACATAATGACAGCTCAGCAGCTATACTTGCAGTCAAGCTTGGATTATGATCTGTGTTTATTTCCATGCCTTTCATGTCTTTGAGGGCTCCCATATGTACTCATTAGTGATCAGAGGTGATTGTGTTGTATTGACTATTTGCTATTGCTTTCTAAAGACTGTTTAGCACAGGAGACATCATCATGTGCAAATTCAAACATATAAACTTGGAGCATGTTCTTTTTTTGTGCATTTTTTGAATAAAGACACTGGACACTGTTTTTAATAGATACCATTTTCAAAGATGGCTTACAGGGCTCTTCCCAAGACTAATTTCTATGTAATGTTAGGCTGCTGATAATCCTTGAAAGCTGTTATTGATTGTACATGTGGGGTGAATAAATCAAAAATTTCAAAATTGATTTGACTGTCACTGAATAGCAGGGGTCCTGGTGCTCTGAAGCAAAGGAATTAAGCCTCTGGACATTTTTGTATGTAATTGTGCAGAGATTATCTGCCAGACAGCATTTTGTGCAGACTTTTCTTGCAGCTGTTTGCAATTTCTTAACAATGAGTGCAAAAATGCATGTATGTATCTAAGTAAAATGTTATCTTTACTACCTGTAATTTTTGCATTTCATTATAAAGGAAATAACTGGGGAAAAAGGTCCTAAGAAAACTGCATATAAATGACTATTAAACTTTGTCTTACCAATCATTTTTTATCACTGAAAAGGTTATTCAAATTTTTTTGCTCAACTTTGCCCAACATATGTTTCTAGGGCTGTGTTTCCAAGTGGGATGCAGAAGTAAGGAAACTGGTTGACTGTTTTAGTCAAGGTACAGGACTCAGTATTTATAAACACTCAATCATATACTTGCTTGGTAAATTAAATCTGTATCCACATCTACCATCTTGACAATTACGTAAGTATACACTCATATCAAAGTTTACTTTACTGAGTATACACTCATTTCAAAATGTTTCAAAGTTTAATCTTTTATTCAAATGCATGAGAAATTACTGTTTCCAAGTTACTAGAATGATGCTTTTTGCTGCTTGGATATCAGCAACTCAAAGCTTATTATAATGTATTGTAGTTCTTACCCTGCACTATTAATGTCAATAGGAGCGTCAACAATAATTTGCAAGTAATAACCAGTATTTTTTCTATAAGTGAAATGGAATTCCAACTCTGTTCTTCTGACATTGTTTAAAATATAATTAAAAAAAAAGAATAAAATAGCTTTTGAAACTGCTGCTGGAGTCTTGCTGTGACTGTAGGCTACCTGACTCTTTAGTATATTGTAGTATATTATTCAGTAGGAAATACAGGAAGAATGTCAGTTACTGACAGGATCTGTGGGTCCTATTTCCAGTAACAAAGAGTGAAAGCTATGGTGGGTACAATAAACCTGTGTGAACCATCTAGTCAGTGATAGAAGTGGATTGCTTTGTGAATGAAAGCTTGTAATACAGCAGAACTACACCTCTAATGATTTAAGGCAGGAAATTGCTTGAACAGTTGTGGCTTTTCTCAGGTTTTTCAGTATAGTCTTATATGTCTTATATAGAAGCTAAAATTAGAATTATTTATATTATGTTGTATGTATTAGTCTAGCTCTTTACAGGTAATTAGCAAATTTCTGTTTTCTTCCCATGATAAAGAATTGTCTGTATCTAGTAGTTATTGTTTTTAAGGTTGAATAAGAAATAGTGCTGCTGTTTAGTAATTTTGGCAATGCTCAAGAAACTGTAAACTCGTTTGTTAGATAGGTGAATGGTTTCCTGTCCCACTGAAGGCTGACTCTTTTTTGAAAATAAGTCCCTTGAAATTTTGGTATGTGTCTTCATAACTCCAGTGTTCTCTCTAACGCTCCAGGGTTTCCCTATAGATCTGAGACTTGAAAGGTACATTACCCATGAGCACAGCATCTTAGCATCCGGGTTTGGATTCCGGGAGGAAAATAGTGTGGAAATTTAGAGATTAGTGTTAAACCCAAATAAAATACTGGAAATGCCTTCCTTTGAAACAGTCATCTCTCCTTGTGTTTTTAGTATGTATGCAGTATATGTATGTATGTAGTATTTAGTATGTATGCATGTATGTTCAAGAGTTGAACTTCTAAGAAAACCTGGGTCAAAAATACAGAATACGGTCAAAAAAAGAATCTTTCCTGGATCCATCCACAACTGACAGGTGACTTTTGAGCCAGCTGAGTGTTGTAAGTGCTTCCAATCTGGTAGCAGATGGTGCAATCTATGAAGGCCACTTGAGCGTCAGCAAAACTACTGTTGCTAATTGAATGAATGTGAAAGCTCCTGCAGAACAATGTTGTTTGAGTAATAGAAATTCACTGCACATACTCCATTGAGGTATGTGCCATATTTAGCTCTGTAAAAAGAGGATGATCTATATGATATAACTCTCTTAATTCTGTGTCTATGCTTGTGCAGAAAGAGTTGTTTCCCATGTTACTGTCAAGTGTGGTAGATGGCAGAACTGATCTGATCCCGTCTTCCTCACGCTCCTGAGGTACTTCTGCTGCTTCAGCTCTGCGGGCTGCTGCTCTTTTTGCTTTATATTGTACTGTAGCCAGGAGATGGCAGAGATACCTTATGTTGTGCATAGTACTCTATACACAGTGTGAAATACCAGCAGTACCTTAGTGTATGTTGTAGTGCTTAGGTCTGTTGTAGCACTTGCAGCATGTAGATTAAGTATGGTGGTGCATGCTTTTGCTGTAAAAGTAATTGAATTAATCTTTAATTGTTACCTATACCTGTAATTATGGTAACTGTATTAATTTAAAATGTAATTGTTTTTTGGTTTGTGTTATTTTCTTATTACGTGTTTAAAGACTGCCATATTTTCATTACAGTAAGGCAGCAAAACTGCCTCCAACTTTCCTAAATCAGTTTGTCATAGAATCATAGATTGGTTAGGGTTGGAAAGGACCTTAGGATCATCTAGTTCCAACCCCCTTCCATGGGCAGGGATGCCTTACACTAGACGATGTTGCCCAAGGTAATGTCTAACCTGACACTGAACACTGCCAGGCATGGACCGTTTACCACTTCTTTTGTCAACCTGTTCCACTGCCTCACACCCTCACAGTAAAGAACTTCTTCCTTATAACTAACCTGAACTCCTGTCTGAAGTTCACTGCTAAGATAAAAAGTGATTAACTATACAGCCTAATGATTAATTTATTTTGTTGATATTCAGTAAGCAAAAAGAGGTGAATTATGATTCTCCTTTTTTGTTCTTTGATCAGTGCTGCTTTTCAGTCTGACATAGTAACTGACCTCATTCAGTGGTCCTTAGCTGTTGTGAACCCATAGTCTGAACCCATTACCTCTTGTCCTGTCGCTACAGTCCCTGATGAAGAGTCCCTCTCTGGCATT